TTGAAATTTGGAGTCACTGGAATAAGCGCGGATCCACGTGGGAGTTTCGAAGGGGTTTATATGTTTGAATGACAGGTAGGCAAGGAAAGTTGGGATTTATGAGCCTCGAGGGACAACGCGCATACATGGCTAGCAGATTGAATGCGTGGAAATTTGTCTTTCTATAAGAAGTTTTGCGAAAATAAGAACGGCAGATCATTTCGATGAGAGAGGATTAATGAGAAGTGTTTTTTTTCGTGATTTGCTAGATTCTCGAGGAAATGTTATGAGTGAATTAAAGAGAACATGACGCTCTCAGTTTAACAAAGCTAAATTCATAAATCTTGTGAGTCATTTGGATAGTTATGACGTAAGGGTGATAAATGGGAATTTGATGAGGGATGTTATGAGAAAGTTTGCCATATATATTGGCAGTAATGATAAATCTTATTGTGATATACTGATAAGAAAGGAAATCATACTTTTCATGTGAATAACTAGACCAATTTTGCATTATACATATTAGGGAACAAAGTCAAATATGTGGTTAATTACATGTGCATTAAATGTTCGTTTTTTTTTAGGAAGTGTATGATGTTATGAGGAATTATGGGGAGAAAGAGAAAACAATGATAGAACGTGAGGAAGATAAGGAATATGATGTTGCTTATTATGAAATCTGCCTGCTGTAGTGTAATGCAATAAGACTAGATAATAATACTAATAAATGATTAAAACGAGGAAATTAGAGGAAACATGTAAGCGCTAGAATGCATACGACGATTGCAAACAAAAGACGGATTCAAAGAAACAAAGATGGTTTCAGAATGGGGTTAAAAGCGAATAAAGAAGAATAAGAGTAACAGTGATGAAAATTAAGACAATGAAATAATCGAAATTTAAGGAACATGTGAAAATATCAGGAAAAAAATAAGGAAGGACAGAAGGGATAAAAGTAAGTTAATGGAAGACAGAGAGAGAGAAAGGAAACAAAGAAGGAATAAGAGAGAAGGAAAAAATAAAAAGCAGGAAAGAATTCAGGAAGATAAGGAGTAGTAGAATTAATAATGAAAGGGAAATGTAACGGGAAGAAATCAAGAAAATATAGAGGAAGAAAAAGAGTGGGAAAATACGAAATTTAGAATAGGTCGAGATAAAAAAAAACAAGGAACGAACAAAAGAAGATGAAAATGAAAAAAAGGGATAAGAAGTAAGAGAATGCAGAAGAAAACGGAGGAGGAGGGTGCAGTTAAGGGACACTTTCGACAGGAACTTCACGTTAATAGTATAAGTTCTGCGAATGATTAATGGCTCTTGAAGCGGCTTGAAAAAGGGGAATAAAAAGGATGTTTGTCGTGGAAATGGACGAGCCAGATGGAGGGAGGCGAAGGGGGGAGGGGGTAGGAAAAGGGGAGAAATGAAGGGAAGGATAGGAAGAGGATACTGATGAGGAGGAGGTGGAGATGATGGAAGTGGTGAGAGAGGAGTAAAGGGAGGAGATGGAGGAGAAAGGGGATGGTGAGTGAGACGAGGGAAGGAGAGGGGAAATGAGAGCATGAGTGAAAGGATAATGCAAGTCAGGGAAGAAGAGAACAAAAAGGGTTAGTGAACGTGAGAGTATTAGTGAAGAAAGAGCAGGAGAACAAATTGGCTAAGGAGGCAGGGGAGGAAGGGAGTAGAAAGTTAATGAAGAAGTGGAGGAGAAAGGATTGTTGGGGACTTGAAGGAAGGAGAGGGAAAAAAAATCAGGAGGAAATACAGTAATGCAAGCTGATGAAGGAGTGAAGGAGGAAGGGGAGTTGAAGGGGAAACGAGGATAATAATTTTGAAAAGAGGGAGAAGGAACAGGTCGGTAAGGAATGGAAAAAAGGGCTTGGAATGTAAGGAAAAGAAGAACGGAGAATGAGGGCGAGGAAAAGATGGAAAATGAGGGAACAATGAAGTGATAATGCAAGTCACTAAAAAAGGAAAGGACGGAATAGTGGAAGAGGAAGAGTGGGAGGATGAAAAGGAGACAGCGGTGGTGAAGTTCGAGGAGGAGAAGGATGAGGAAGAGGGAGAAGAGGAGGAGGAGGAGGAGAAGAAATGGTGGAGTTGGAGGGGGAGGAGGAATAGAAAGGTTAGTGAAAGAGGAGTAAGTGGGGGAAAATGTCGAAATTACGAAAAAAGAAAAGAAAAGAAAACGAAATCGAAAAAGAATGAGAGCGTGAGGAACAATAAGAAACGAAAGAGGAAAACAAAAAGTAAATCCTAATTAAAAAAAAAAAGTGTTGTAGTTTTATAGAAAGAAGCTGGATGGGATAAAGTGCTAGAGTTTGAGAGGAATATTGATTCGGAATTACGAATAAATAATTGTATTAAGCTGCTTCTGGTAGAGATAAAGAGTATGGACTCGTGTTGGAGGGGATGGAGTAAAGCCGATTAGATTAGATTATAAAAAAATAGGCAAAGTTGGCTTGGTGTAAGGCGTAAGAAACTTGATTAAGAAGAAGTGTACTTTTTCAGAAATAGATAGGGGGAAGGAGAATGAAGGAGGGAAGAAAAGGGGAAGGAAGGAAGGAGAGACTTACGCAAATAGCAATATAAATAAATAGGACAAGGGAAATAGAAAGTAAGGAGGAAGAAATGCTCAGAAAAAAAATCTTTTATCGTAGTAGTGGCTAGAATTTCAGCTGTAAGTATGTGAAGTATTGCCAGGACGACTGTAAGTGGAGATCAAGAGATTGAGCTAACTGAGGAAGTAAACAAGTGAAGCCCTGAAATGCTGGTAAGGGAGAAATCTAATTTATTTTGGATTAAAAGGTTAGAATCTCTCTCTATATTTGTCTCTCTCTCTCTATGTATGTATCTATCTATCTATATCTATCTGCCTGTCTACCTACCTACCTATCTACCTATCTACCTACCTATCTATCAATTTACCTTCCTGTCTGTATATATAATTACTAACAGGGTTAGGTTTATGGGTTAGCTTGTCTGAAAAGGGATCACTCTACAGTTAAAAGCAAAATATGAAAGATTTAGGATTCATTACTTTGTGATGGAGAGATTAAATGTGCATCGGTATGTACACGCATGTATCCTGCAACCACATTTCTAAACAAGCACAAACCTTACACGCACAATCTCACAAAAAAGGGAGAGAGAGGGGGAAAAAATATATATATACACAGTAAACTAACTCACATATGTTCATATATAAGTATGTGCGTATATGTGAGCAGATGTATGTACATATGCCTTAAACAGTAAATAAAGAGCAACTGACGAACTGAAAAAAAAAGAAAAAAAAAATAGGCCTCATTTTTTCCGTCAGATTTGGACTCGCTCGCCAGCTGTGCCGAAGCGGAGTGACGTGAGGGGACTGATGAATGGGTTAATGGGGACGGGATGAGGGGAAAGCCCACCGTTGAGAGTGTTGGGTAATGGAGGCTGAATGGGTTTAATCCCTCGACGTCCTATTTTTCCAGTAATGGGGTTGGGCAGTGTGGCAAAGTCACGACAAATGTATGGGGGAAACGGCGAGTAAAGAAATTGGTTTGTGCTTGAATAGGAGAATGGGGATAGAAGGGGATAAGTAACGTTTTCGTAGGAAAAAAGAAGGAAAGAGAAGGGACAGGAATGGTATTGGGAACATATATAATCATTTTAAAAAATAGCAGTAATACATTAGTATTCTCTTTATACGGGGTATTATGATATAATATGATCCTCAAAGTACTTTTGTTATGCTCATGTTTATAAAAACACAAACATACAGGCACATACACTCACGTGAGCTTATATGTGTGTATGTGCACAGTTTAATACATATACAGGAGACTAATACTGAAAGGCATTAGAGCGACGTGAGAGATGACAGATTAATGCTTAAAGCTGATGGATGATAAAATGATGACGGAAGATAATGTAAAATACTGTAAGATAAGAGGGAATTAGTTAATAGCTCTGCTAATGAAGATAAAGAGACGGAGGAGATACTTATCTATTTAAAATGACGCTGATGTGGTGTTAAAGAAGGTAGACAAAGAGGAGGAAATAGAGGAGAAGGAATATCGGAAGAATCATTGGCGTGATAAAAAAGTGAAAAGAGGAGAGAGGAAATTTAGAGGAGAGAGAGAAAAAAGGGCGAGAATGAAGGAAGAACAAAATGAAGAGAGAGAGAGAGAGAGAGAGAGAGACAGAGAGATAGAGAGAGAGAGAGAGAGAGATAGATAGATAGATATAGAGAGAGAGGGAGAGAAAGAGAAAGAAAGAGAGAAAGAGGGGAGAGAGAGAGAGAGAGAGAGAGAGAGATAAGCCGCGTGCTATTGGAGACAAAGACAAAGACAATTACCGTAGATGATAAATGAACGTGGTGCTGAAGCTAAACGATGCTTGGTACGTGAAGATTGATGACAAAGGGAGTGGTAAGTAAACGTAGAAAATAATATAATACCAACAGATGCTCAGATATATTGGTCATTTTGAAACGGATTAGAGGCATGATTCTAACAGTTATATCATTCACGAAGATTCAACATAGATGAAAGTTCTTTAGGAAATTATATTCCCTCATAAGGGTTATGAAAACATGACGAAGGTGAAGATGACAGGAGAAAAAAAAAATAGTTATAGGGATAAGGGGAAAGAAGGACAGGTGGGGAAAAGAAGAACTCAGAATACGTAGATCTTATATTCATGTATGTATATCCCTTGCGAGTGAGAAAGTGACTCACTTCACCCCCACTTATTCTTCACTCCATTTCTCTGTTTCTCTCTTTACTCTTTCCTTTTTCCTGAACCGTATAACTTCGCTT